CCCCCCGCCCCGGGCCCGGGAGCCGGCGAGGGCCGAACGGGGGGGGGCCGCACCCGCTGTCTGCACCAATCACCTCCCCGCAGCCCCGTAGGGAGGGCACCGGCCAGGGCTCTCGCCGGTCCCTCCTTACCGGGCGGGCAGAGCCTGGGGGCGGGGCTGCGAAGGGAGCGAGGGACGGGCGCTCGGGAAGGGGCATCTGTCTCCTCCACCGAGGGGTGGGCCAGGAGGAGAGGCTGAGCCGGGGGGGGCTGCCCGCCCCGGTGGCCCGCGCCGAGCCCTCCTTGGGTCTCCGCGGCAACCTCCGTCTGCACAGGCCGCCCCAGCCCCGCGTCTCGGCCCTGCCAGCAGCTGGCTTGCTTCTCCGGTGCACCGGGAGAAGCACTGCAGAGCCCTTCCCTCGAGCTCTGCACCCGGACAGCCGGGCCTCCAGACTGGCGCTGGCATCGCTCGAGCGAGCGTTGCGTGAGGGTCCTGCCGTGCTTGCATCCATGCCAGGATTACTGCGGGCCGGTGGCCCCGTGGCTCTTCAGCCAGGGCATGTCCCCTGGTAGGGCGTCAAGTGAGGGAACTTGCTGCCGGGTGGACAGGCTGGGGGGGTCCCTGCTTGTGGCCAGCTTTCGCTCCTACTACAATTTGCACTGCACAAAACAAGACTGAGCGGATCGATGTTGAGATGTCCTGTCCCCGATGAGATGTCACAGCCTCTCCAACACCAGAATACCCCCTGAGGCGTCCTAGGCTTGTTCCTGGGCTTGCTGCAGCCTGAAGATGATCCATCTCACAGCCTGTTGAGCACATGTTGTTCCTTGTGCTTCTCCATTGGTTTCTCTCTACCAGATCAGGATTAAGCTTTACATGCTTGCTGGCTTCGCTGTGCCTGCTGCCGCTTGTTCACTATGGAGGTGTCAAATCTCACCGCTGGCTGATGACGCCGGCCACGGCTCTGTTGGAGCACTTCCCTGCCTGCCTCCCCTCCTCCGTGGGAGATCCCCCGCCTGTCACAGAACAACTGCATTATCCTCCTCCAAATCCCTCTTCTGCTGTGACGTCTGCAGAACACTTGACTGAGATTAGTCTGTCATGTGGAGGCTCTTACCCCCCCGCTGACCTGTGCTTCCCTTTCTGCGGCTGCTTTTGGCTTGTGTCTCTTCCCTGCTTGTGCAGCCAGTGGCGGCCCGGGGCCGGCACTCCCAGGCTCTGGGGTTGTGGTGAAACTGGAGTTCTGGGAGGAACGTCGGACAGGAGTAGTTCCTTGCTCTGTCTGCTCAGGTGCTAACTTTTCCATCACAGCTTTCTTGCCTGCACGCTGCCCTCTCTAATAGTATCTCTGACACCTTCCACATTTCCCTGAAAAGGACTTTTTGCTGAATCCTCATTATTTTGAGAGGTATCAGTGAAGCTAAAGATTTTGTGACTTCTTGCCACAGTGTCCAGCTGCGGAGCTGGCAAGGCCGCCAGCTCAGCATGAGAGGATTGGGGTTCGCTCAGGTGTATCAAAAAGTCCTGCCTGGACTGCTCTTCAGTGCCTGTTTTTTATTTAAAACAATAATTAGTGCTTTTGTCCCAGGCAGACAGCTGTGTAGTGCCCTGAGCACGATCCCAGTGTTGCCCTCAGGTCACTGTACACTTGGCCCTGGTGATGTGTGTTTCCTTCATGCTGCCCTGCTTGAATTTCCTGCTTCCTCCTCACTTGGCAGCGAGTGCCCTTGGATCAACACCAGTTTGCTGTGACAGCAAGTTGCAGACCATTGTTCAAACAAGGGAGCAGCGAGGAGTGGTATTGCCTTGCCACAGCGTTCAGCATCAATGAAGCACAACTGAAATAGCCTCCAGCTCTGCTGTCAGGTCTTCAGGAGGGTGCTGCAGCTTTGGCAGGGACTCAGAATCAATTTTTGAGCAGAATCAATTAGGAAGCTGGAAAATTGAACATGATGCTGGGATAGATTTGAGGTCCTCAGGCTGCTTAGTGTTGAGATGGCTTGATCATGCTGTTTTCAGTGCGTGCGCGGGGAGCGGGTTCAATGAAGGGCTACTTTACCAAAGGAAAGTGAGATCTGGTTATCCAAAGCTGGGCATGTAGGACTCAAACTGGAAATGAGCTGCAGATTTTAACGGTGTAACCATTGGAACCCTTCATCTTCGGATGGGTTGGATGGGATTGCCTGAAATCTTTGTTTAGGTTTGAGGATATTTCTGCAAGAGATGTTTTAGTTTTACTTCAGAGATAAATCAGTGACGGGATTTTCTTGATGATGCTTCTAACATCGGTTATGGCCAGAATCTGATCTGATGTTTGTGAGTAGCCATGTCTGGGTTTAATGGCTTCAAGTCCCTGCTTAAAAATGTGAGATGATTTCAGTTGCTGTAAGCTAACCATCTTCTCTCTCCTTTTGAGGTGTCAAGGGTTGTTTTTCCAGTAATTTGGACCTTCCTGAAGCACCCACTTGCCTAATGCCATGAATATTGCAGTGAACAATGTGGAAGAAAAAGCTGTCCATTCCTGGTCAAGAATTTCCTCTGCAGGACAGAAAGTGCTGGAGGAAGCCCTACGAGTCTTCAACCCGATGTCCAAGGACCTTTCGGACACAGAGACCCAGCTGGTGGCCTTCATTCAGGGCCTGAAGGAGGAGGGCTATCAGCCCACAGTTCTGAGGAGTAAGGATGTGTATGGGTACAGCTCGTGCACGGCAGACACACCTAGTCAAACAAAAGAGAGCACCCCGCACAACTGCGCCAACGCTGCCGAGCCCACTAAGACTCCGGCTAGAAACACCGCAGCCATGGCAAAGGTGTCTGCTTCGCCTACCAGCATTTCGGTGAACTCTTCGAAAGTGTCCACTCAGCCTGTCTCTAAAGGGGATTCCACAAATCTCCTCTTGAGCTCCTTGAAGCAAACAAGATCCGGCACGTCCAAGGCCACGGCAGTGGGCTTCCCTACAAGCATGTATCCTGACGTGTATCCAGCCATGAGACTGTCGGTAGTTCTGGAAGCTCTGGTGCCACTGAAAACTACCGTGCCCTGTTTGGAGTCCAAGTACACACAAGGGCGTCTTGGGATCTCGCCCTCGGACCTTAAACTCCTCAAGGCTTCGAGTACACCGAGGCAGTTTTCTTCAGGCAAGACCACTAAAATAACAGAAGGTAAGGGCTACAAGCGTTTGATAAAGAAAGCACCGGATTCTGCCACCCTTGCTTTAAATCTTCTGAAGGGACCAAAGGGTGGAGTGCTGCAGGAGAGCAATGCTTGCAAAGCCTCGGGAGTCCTCAACGGGAGAGTCACAGGCAGCTCATCCCAGGGCTGCACCACAGCAGCGCAGTCCAAGACCCTGAAAATTAAAGATAAGGAAGCTCTGGTGGGGAAAACAGAGTGGAAGGACAGCAGCACTTACCGTGAGAGCGTTGGGCAGAAGAAGAGAAGAGCTACGGAGTCAAGAGAAGCACCACAGAGGAAGAAAGCAAATACCATTCCTATCCAAAATAAATCTCGACGAGCTCAGAGCACTTTGAACCTGCTGAAATTCCGGGCCATCAAGGTGGGCAACTCTTCCTCTGATGATGAAGTGAGGAGGAGAGCACAGAAGATTCTTAGGGTCAATCTGTCCCCCGTGATCCGAATTCAGCCCTTGTCCCACTCTCACAGCGTCCCCTGAGTTTCTTCACTTTGTCACTTTTTTTGTAAGTAAGTAAATACGAGCCTGGCATCAGAGCATGGGGAAGTTTAAGAGCAACTCTGGATCTCTGGTGCCTGGTGACGGTATGTCGACTAACCTGCAGACAGAGCAGCCTGCTCTCGTGCTGTTTCTGCCTGTCTACCACTGCTATGGAGAACTGACTGCAGAAATACAAAAACCTGTTCAGGAACATGGGGTGATGACTCTCGCCCATTGCGAGCCGAGCAGGCTGGAGGGCTCGCTTCCCGCAGGCGCTCTTCTGAACGTGGCAGGCTGCGCTCTCGTGCAGGGGGAGAACACGGGACTTTCTCATGACATTGATGCACTGTGATATTGCTGTTTTTCAAGCTGTACATTTACTGGTTTTATTTTGATCAAATTTTATAACTTTATTATCTATATATCTATATATCCATATATGTGCATATGGCCCAGGAACTGTGGGAAGATGCTCTTCCTCCATCCCTCTGGGATTGGGTTCGATAGCTTTTTTTCCCCCTCCCCTTCAGCCAGTCTTTTAAAGGTGCCAGGATTTCTTTGTGATTCAGTGCTGTGACAGTCTGTTCTGGGCTCTCTTGAGCAGCTCAGAGGCAGGCAGAGTTATCGCTACTTGTTTGTCTCCAGAAATGCCAAGCAATTTGGAGAATTACCAGCCGATAGTTGACTACAGTTTTAATCATACTTTTGGTATTACCTCTGCGTAAGAGTGGGGGAGTGTTACGGGGCTGCTGACGTCTCTAGGTGCCTCCTCCATTCTATGGTAGCAGAAGCTCTGAATGCATGGTAGGGGTTTGCTTCCAGAGAGCGATTCCTCCTCAGCACTCAGTGTTGCTCTGCTCTCCTGTACCCCAGCTGCGGACATAAAGCATGAACTGTGACTATTAGAGCTGAAGGGCTGGAGTTGTTAACAGGAATTGCATAAAGTGTCCTGTCCACCACGTAACTGCTTTGCTGTTGCTGGATGTTTCAGGAGCAGGTTCTAGCTGCCAGTAGAGAAGACACAGGCTGTGTTTGAATGTATTAGATACATCCTGCCGGTCCCAGAGCTCAGTGGGGTATTTGAGCCTGAATTAAAGCAGAAAAGCGAAAGAGTTGTGAGGATATATGCCAGCACTTAGAGAGTTTCTTTCTGTCAGTTTGTGAGGGTGAAGCAGTAGGAGGCGAGATCAGCACTGTGTTGTGATGGGTGACAGCTTTGCTGTGCTGTCTGGGATGTTGCGAGAAGGTGTGTGGCAGGTGTGAAAGCTCCCGGAGCGCAGGCTCTGCCTGTCCCCAGGAGGCACTGCGGAACCGCAGACGGCTGCGTTAGCCTTCCTGCGCCGGGGGCATGCTGTCAGATGCCAACACAGACTGTGCGCTGGTGGAGGTCGTGTCTGCTCTCCTCAGGGAGGGATCTGCAAGCTCTGGGAGAAACCGTGCTGGAGCGGTAGGTGCTGCCACTGTCACCTGGGAGGGATGGTCTCTGATGAGATGATCTGCGTTGGGATACTGCAAAAACAGAAGCTGGCAGCTCAGGGAGAGGAAGCAGCGTTGTGCCTGGCACGGGCCTGGCTCTGTACACCACTGTACATTCAGATCTCTGCAGCAGTGGGCTGGTAATCCACTCATTCTCTCACCAGCTCACAATACCAGTTGTCTGACCTAGTAATCTCTGTGGACATTGGCTGAAGGGATGAGCTCCCCTGGGAAGCCCCAGCTCCTTACGTTTCTGCCCCTCCCTAGCACCTGGCTGGATTTCAGTGCTTTGCAAAAGGGGTCAGTGTCTGATCCTCAGCTCAGAGAGGAAAACCATGCCACGGAGAGAAGAGAGGAGGTTCATGAGGGAGTGAGAGTGCAGGGAAGCTGGGTGTCCCGAGGCACAGCTGGGGTTTGCACCCCTCACCCGGGTAGAGCAGGGTGGAGGTTCTCCCTCAGGGGATGATTGCAGGCTCTGAATCACACACTCAAGTTCTGTGTGGTTTTACTACATGTATCTGAGTTGCTGTCAGAGATCATAACTTGCAATGTTGGAGACTGACCTCTGAATGCCGCTGGTTGGCTGCAGAGGAGGAGGAAATATTTTCTTCTGCTTCTGCGTTTTAAAATGCCCTGGCAGAGAGTTCCCTGTCCTGACATGATGCTGGATGAACAGGGACCCTCCGTCACTGTTGACCAGCCAAAAATTGCTTTGTCCCTTTTGTTCCCACTCCTTCAGACCTTTCTCATTCCCACGCTCTCAAATGCCAGGTCTTGAAGTCTTGCACTGGAGTTTCTCTTTTTGGCTGTTTCCCGAGGAGGGCTCTGAACTCCTCCCTGCGGTATCACTGTCTGACAGGCTGCTCGGCAGCTTCCCCTGCTCCCAGTCCCTTATAAGGGCAGTGAGAGCTGTCTCTGGAGCCTCTTCATGCAGCACAGGCATCCCAGCTGAGTGCCTGGCCTCCGGTGGGAAAAACAACCGTGCATCAACAAGGCTGAATTTGGGTTGAGGTTGCTTCTCCTCCAGCCTGAGCAGGAAGCTGAGCACCTGAGGCCAGCTTAGCAGGCCTCCTCTTCGTTGTGTTTCTTCCCCCAGCTGCACTGCTGCCTGCCTCCCCACTCTTCTCCATCACCTCTTGTCTTTCACAGCTTGGGTCTTTGCCAGTCAAGGACTTGGCTTGTACTGTTGCTTAACACATCCAGCAAAACATACTGCCTTAGTGCTGCCATGCCTTTCCCGGCACCAAGCTGAATTCTGCAAATGCTTTGTGGCAACGCCTCGCCTGGTGTCCTTCCCAGGCTACCAGCAAGAGGTCTTCTGCTCCACAGGAAGAGATGAGCATTAGAAACACTTCTGTGTCACTGAGGCTCCTGCCAGGGAAGCGAGCACCCCATCGCTCTGTGCTCAGGGACTTGCCTGTCATCAGTCCAGTCTCTGTCAGCTCTTCTGCACATCTCTAACAGACTGGAGGGCCCCTGAGCTACTGGGCAGTGCTGGAGCTTGATTGTCTGCCCTCCTGATGTTTCCTCTTCCCCCTCGCAGGTGATTTGGGAACTCGGCTGGAAGGACTGCAGCTTGTTATTCACAGAGGGGCTTTATAGCACCTGGTGCTAATGTGAGCAACTGCTGCCTGTCATCCAGTGCTGGCAGACAGGGTGCCTGCAGCCTGTTAGTGGTTGGCTCTGCCATCCTTCATCTCATGGCCGGGTGTGGGTGTTCCTGGCGTCTTGGGCCTCTGATACTGATGTGCAGGAGGCTGCAGAAGGGGCTGTGCTGTGGACACTGCTGTCTGGTGTTTAGGGAAGACAAAGGGTTTGATCAAACCAGGCCAGCCTAAAACTTGATCTAACCAGAGATCTTCCTTCACAGGTCCCTTCCACCCCATGTTATTCTGTGACAGCAGAGTAACGCTTGCCTTCCAGGGATCTGCGCAGCAGTAACTGGCAAGGCACGTAGAAATGCGTTGCCTGGAGTGCTGTGGTCTCTGCTGAGCGTGCTGTATGCAGGTTGTTCAGACCTGTTTCTGTATTAGTCACTTTCAATCCAAGTGCCTAACCTGGCTTATGCTGTTCCTGGGCACCATGACAGCTGAGAGCTTTGGAGACTCTCTTAGGAATGCTTTTACCACATGGATTTGTGCCACTGTCACTTCTAGAAATGATTCAGCCAGCGGTCAAAGGGCTGTTCTTCCAACTGATTTTGTGGAAATCATTTCTCCTTTTATTCAGCTGCCAAGAACTAGAGTTTATGCTTCGCCTCCACCAGACAAGGTCCTTGAGCTTCCTGCGTGCTTCAGATGTCCGTCAGCGAGGTCCGTGGGGAGAGCAGCTTGTCCGGCAGGCAGCTGAAGGGGAAGCTGACATCGGATACCAGTTGAAATCACATTGTTAATTGGTAGAAATGTTTTGAAGCTCATGTCCACTGTGATCAGATTTCACCATCTGCCGCTGCTTTTAGTTGGAGGAGTTTCTCCTTGGCCTCTTCCCTGCAAGCCATGTAGCATGGTGCTGCTGCTTCCAAACTGCCTCCCCCCCGCAGAGCCAGCTGCCATAGTGATCCTTGTACAGAATTTCTTAAGCACTTTTCTGCAAAATAAGAAGGGATTATTTTGTTACTCCTGTTTTGTAGCGCGCTAGTGGTATTTCAGTGTGAGGAAGAGGTATGCTCCCTGGAGCGTTGTGAGCACTCACCTAGCTGGATGCTTTTCAGAGCAGGGCATCACCCGCGCAGCCTGCAGCGCTCATGCTCACAGAGCCAGGGGGGCAGTGGGCTGAGATCCCTCATTGCCTGGTGTTTTCTTGCACAGAGTTCAGCCAGTCACCAGCTAAGAGCATTGCAGGGAAGTTCGGAGCAGAACAGCATGGGTGGGTGATGCTGCGCATCCGGCTCTGCGGCCCTGCTCCGCAGCTGCCCCTGTTCTGCTGTGTGTCCTCTGTGGCCCCCCCTCATACACCAGCAGCATTTCTCCACCGGTGAAGCTGGTGGAAGTCTCTCGGCTCCAGGGAGAGGCTGGGGGGAGTTTGGGCTTGAGCACAGAATTTTGGCCCTTTCAGTTGTGACTTGTGCCGTGTTCATGGCCAGACCTTGCCAGCATGTGGGGGTGGTGCAGCCGGTCCAGCTGCTCTCCCCCTTGGGTCCAAGTTCCCTGCCCTGTCTGGGAGCTGGGCCTTTGGCCACAGCACAAGGGACGTATGGGGATGGAGAGCAGGTTTGTCTCTCAGCTGCAGCTGAACAGTGTGACGTGAGCTGGGCAGCTTCCTGGGCAGGAGGGCAGGTTTAGGTGGGAGGATCCTTGTTTTGGCTGTGGTTGGCAGGGTCGGTGCCGAGCTGTGTGGAGCTCAAGCAGCTTGGTTGGTTTGTGTGGAAGTCACAGTTTCTCTTTCAGTCTTCAAAATGGCACTGGCCTGTTTGCTCCCGTGGTCAGATGGGGTAAGCTTTCCAGGAGCTGAGGTGGTCTGAGGAGAGGACAGCTGTTCTGGGACACCTCGCACCTTCTCGACAGTGCTGCGGCCCTTGGCTTTGCGAGCTGGGTGGGCTGGCACCGCCTGTGGAGAGGTTGCTCCCAGGCCCTTGCGTTTGGGACTCTCTGCTAGAGTGCACCACTCTCCTCGAAGCCTGTTCCTGCTTGGAGCTGGGTGCTGTTAGGAAGGTGCCAGGTGCCTCGCTGTCTGGTGGAGCAGAGATCTTGTCCCAGAAGGCAGGAGAGCCAGCCTGCCTCACTACGTCAGCCCTGAGTATCAAGTGAACCCTGTCTGTAGGTGTGACACTGCTAGCGCTCACAGCTTGGCCAGCTGCAGCCTCCAAAGCTGTGGTGCTGAGGCCAGCCCCCTCAGTTTGCTTAGGAAGACCGAGGAGGTCTGGTGAAAAAGCGAGAAGCTGGGGTTAGGGGAAACCAAAGACACCAGCAGCGCCTGGCCAGCCAGCTTCTGCTTCTGCTGCAGGAGATCTGCAAACAGAGGAGCGAGGCCTGTGGTGTACAGGTAGCAGTGCCTCCGCTCTGTCCCTGCCTGGCTGATGGGGCCTGTCCTGCCCTGTCTGGTAGCACTACGCAGGCACTGGTGCTGCAGGCTCTGGGGCATGGGCGAGGGGGTGCCCTTTTGGAGCAGGTGCCCCTGATAACCCTTGGTTTCCATCCTTTGTTGGTCACACAAACTGGCCCTGCTTGGGTGGCTGTGGGGAAGGTAAGCCGCTCCCCAGTTTGCAGAACCCCCCCTGCCCCCTGTGTGTGCTGACTTGTAACCCCTGGACACCCTTGCAGGGGGGGCAGCTCTTCCTCCCGTGAGCATGCGAAATACCTTCCCCTGTGGGACAATTAGGCCTTGCCCCGGGGAGTCCCTTAAAGGCCTTATTATCGTCTGGGACTCTCTCCGTGTTGTCTTAATTAGCCCTTTCTGTTCCTGTTGCTACAGGCAGCCCCTGTGAGAATCTGGTGATTCCCACAGATGCAGTCAGGCACGCAGTGCTGTTGTAAAAGAGAAGGTGCTGCAAAGCTATGCCCAGAAATACCTCCCCTCCTGCCCCTGCTCCACCATGCTGCCCAGGCCTGGGATGGGATGAAACGAGTGTCAGCGTTTGTGGCAGGGAAAGCACGGTGTGTGACGCCGTTCCCTCCTCCTGGT